GGAAATCTTGAAGAAGAGATTTATATGTTCCAGCCTGAAGGTTTTGAAGAAGACGAAAAGAAGAACTTGGTTTGCAGGTTGAACAAATCTCTGTACGGTCTAAAGCAGGCGTCGAGGTGTTGGTATAAGAGATTTGATTCCTTCATTATGTGCCTTGGATACAACAGACTTAATGAAGACCCTTGTGCTTATTTCAAGAGGTCTGGTGATAACGATTTTGTTATATTGTTGTTGTATGTGGATGACATGTTGGTTGCAGAACCCAACAAAGATCATATTGAAGAATTGAAGGCACAACTGGTTAGGGAATTTGAAATGAAGGACTTGGGATCAGCAAACAAGATTCTAGGGATGCAAATTCACCGAGACAAAAGTAATAAAAAGATTTGGCTTTTACAAAAGAATTACTTGAAGAAGATCTTGTCACGATTTAGCATGCAAGATTGTAAGCCAATTTCTACCCCTCTTCCTATTAACTTCAAATTATCCTCCAGTATGAGTCCTAGCAGTGAAGAAGAGAGGATGGAGATGTCTCGAGTACCGTATGCATCAGCAGTGGGAAGTTTAATGTTTGCTATGATATGCACAATACCAGACATTGCACAAGCAGTGGGAGTGGTTAGTTGGTACATGGCGAATCCAGGAAAAGAGCATTGGAATACAGTGAAGATGATCCTAAGATATATCAAAGGGACCTCAAATGTTGCATTATGTTACGGAGGATCAAACTTACTAATCAATGGGTATGTAAATTCTGACTAAGCAGGGGATTTGGATAAAAGTAAATCTACTACAGGATATGTGTTCAAATTGCTAGTGGAGCTGTAAGCTAGGTTTCAAAATTGCAGTTAGTTGTGGCTACATCCAAAAAAGAGGCAGAATATGTAGCAGCTACACAAGCCAGTAAAGAAGCAATTTGGATGAAGATGTTATTAGAGGAGCTTGGGCACAATCAAGAACATGTCTCTCTGTTTTGTGACAATCAAAGCGCCTTGCATTTAGCAAGGAATCCATCATTTCATTTAAGGACAAAGCACATACGAGTTCAGTACCATTTCATTCGTGAAAAGGTGGAAGAATTGACGGTAGATATGCAGAAGATCCATACCAAAGACAACATAGCAGATTTCATGACAAAGGCGATCAACGCTGATAAATTTACTTGGTGTCGATCCTCTTGTGGTCTGTCAGAAATGTAAGCAACATGATGGTACAAGGTAGAAAGAATGGTGTGAAGATATGATTGTTTCAATCAAATCTTCAAGTGGGAGATTGTTGAAAATTGATAAATTTCCACCGAAAGTTGGAATTGGAAAAATCAATTCCACCTAAAACTTTGAAAAGGGGAATGGTAGGCATGAATTAGGTGTTGAATATTTTGAATGGAAAAATTAATTTTAGTCATTAGACTTTAGGGTATTTAGAAGATTATTCCTTAAGCTTTAAGTATAAATACCCTAGCTCATTTAGCTTCAAAATCATCCCAAAGCATTCTAGCTTTCTTCCAATATTAGAGAGAATTTAGAGAGTTTCTTGAGAGTTGTTTTCTCCTTTTTATCAAGAGAGAATTATCATTGTTTTCTCCTTGGTAGATCGAGAGAGGTTGTAATTCCTATTTTTCTCATAGTGAAATTCTTCTACCGTTGCCCGTGGTTTTTACCATATATTATTTAGGGGTTTTCCACGTAAATTTTGTGTCTCTTTTATCTTCAATTTTTATTTTCTCAAATTATCAGTTGCATTTTTGCTCTATCCGATAGCCGTCTTCCGCAACAAGCTCTGCATGCATTTGATGTTTTCATGATTAAAAATAACTCTATCCTGGTGGTGTATTATAAATTAATTGCTCAGTATGAATATGCCTTTGTTTTCCCCAGGCGCGGTTTACATACAAATAGTTCTTATAGTATGGTAATCAAGTGAATATCAAGCAAATTCCAGACCCTTTGGCCCAATCTGAACAAAATTAGACAATAAGAAAGCTTTTCATATTCAGCTGCCTTTCCATAACAAAAGAATGTATATATGTAAGAACCCTTACAAAGTTTAACACAAAAGCTATCAAATTCCCAATAAACCTAGGGGCAGGTTGAGAAGGATCCCTTCTGAAGGCAAAAAAAAAATTAACAATTATGATATAGTGCAGACTTCATGGATCCTCTATATATATAGACATGCGATTACCAACACTTGTACCGGTACTCCATATAATGTATCTAAGCTTACTTGTATGAAGACAATAATATCCACTTTACTTTTAATAAAGAAAAAAGCTAGAAAAAAATTGCTAAGAAGCATAAATAGATTCACATGACCTCTTCCATATTTCCAATTTAAAGCTTGAAACCCATGCTTATGCACTGCGGTTGAAAGTCAAAACTGTTTTCAAGGCTAAACAAAAGAAGCCATGCATACCGAACTTAGCAGTTAGCATCATCATCTGCCTTAACAATTCCCATCACAAATGGTTGCCAATTACCCTGAAATGAAACGTCTGTAATCAGTTTTCCTCCCCAAATCCTCTAGTAGCTCAATAGGATATAGCTTAGGTGTTGGAAGCGTAGATGGGCTCTCGGTAATTTATAACTCGAACTTTTTATTTATACGAAACAAAATATGTTACAATAACACTACCTCAATATTACAATATTGCAATACTAGCTGCGGCTAGTTTACAAACGCAACCTCACTATTTTAAAGCTTTGCTAAGCTTCACAACCTATCTCTCATTTTTTTTCTTACTTTCTCTCGTATATTTTCCTCACTTATATTACATACATCCTAAACTAGGCTAGAGCACATATATATAGGATCAATTAACCGACTTATTTTGAAGCTCTGGGTGCTTTTTAATTTTTCCATTATTGCCACCATATTTGCTGCAACCTTATCCTTTTATGGGACCACCTTAATATGCTTAATAATTAAGAAATTCAAGAGGCTTCTAGCTTTTGCCATCTTGTTGTCATATTGTTGCACTTCTAGCCATCTTTCTTGACTTTTCAAGTTTGATTTTTAACGCTCCCCCTCAAACTTGATTTTTCATTCCGAGCTTTTCTTTTAGTCGGTTGAATATATCTGCTCTCAATGGTTTTGTGAAAATATATGCTAGTTGATCTTCAGTTCTGCAGTAAATTAGCTCCACATTTTTGTTCTTCACCTGCTCTCATAAAGTGATACTTTGTATCAATATGCTTGCTTCGGCTATGGGAGACTGGATTCTTGGAAAGGGAAATTGTAGACTTGTTGTCGACATAGATTGTAATTGTTCTTCTTGTGCCAAATTTAGCTCGTGCAAAATATTCTTTAACCACATTGCTTGGCAAGTGCACGCTGCTACGGCTATGTATTCAGCTTCACATGTTCAAAGAGCTACCGTTTGTTGCTTCATTGATGACCATGAAAATACTGCAGAGCCGATATGAAATAGATATCCAGTTGTGATTTTCCGATCGTCCAAGTCTCCCCCATAATCACTATCAGAATAACCAACCAGCTTCGAATTTTCTAAATGCGTGTAGAACAAACCATGACCTGTTGTACCTTTGACATATCTGAGGATTCTTTTTGCTGCAATCCAATGTTCTTGTTTCAGATTCTCCATGAATCTGCTTACCAATCCCACAACGTATGTTATGTCTGATCGTGTGATAGTCAGATACCTTAGACTTCCAACGATGCTTTTAAACAACGTCGGATTCATTTGCTCTCTTGTTGAATTCACACTTAATTTGACTTCTGGTTCTGTTGGAGTGGCTACCGGCTTGCAAGCTTCCATTCTAAATTTTCTTAAAATTTCTTTTGCATACTTTTTTTGTGATATAAATTTTCCTTCTTGCATTTGCTTCACTTCAACTCCAAGAAAGTATGACATTTCTCCAATATCTGTCATTTCAAATTCTTTAGTCATAGCTTTCTTAAAATCATTGAACATACCTGGATTATTTCCTGTGAAAATCATGTCGTCCACATATAAGCACACGATCATGATATCACCGTCTTCATTTTTCTTTGTGTATAAAGCATGCTCATATGGACTCTTCATGAACCCATTTCTCTAGAAATATTCATCAATTCTCGTGTTCCATGCTCTCGGGGCTTGTTTTAGACCATATAGAGCTTTCTTCAATTGATAAACTTTGTCTTCATGTCCCTTTTTAATGTATCCAGGTGGTTGCTCAATATAAACTTCTTCTTCTAGGTAGCCATTTAAAAATGCCGACTTCACATCCATTTGATAAATTTTCCATCCTTTTTGTGCTGTGACTGTTGTGAGAAGTCTGATGGTCTCGATCCTTGCTACTGGAGCAAATACTTCATCATAGTCTATTCCTTGTCTTTGCTTATATCCTTTGACTAGCCTCACTTTGTGCTTTTCGACCTTTCCTTCTTTATTGGTCTTTGTCTTGTAAACCCATTTTACTCCAATTGGGTTATGGCCTTCTGGTTGTCTTGTTAGCTCCCATGTATTATTTCTTTCTATTGATGCAATTTCTTCATCCATTGCATTCCTTCATTTGTCATCTTCAACCGCTTCTTCGTATGTTATTGGATCACTGTTCACAAGTAAGCAGAAAAGTGAAACATTATTTAGTTCATAATCGTTGTACCTTTCTGGCATTCTTTTCTCTCTTGTGGATCTTCGAACTTCTGTGGGAGGTGCTTCAGGATCTTCTATTATGTTACTGGCATTGCTGCTACTGCTTGACGGCGATGGTACATTTTGTTGAGGACCTTGATCATCAACTTGTTCAACATCTTTATCTTCGTTAAAAAATAGTCCTTCAAATTCTTTTCCTCTTTGCTCCACCTCCAATAGTTTGCTTCATCGAACTCGACATCTCTTGAAATTATTACCTTCTTGGTAAGAGGATTATACAATCTGTAAGCTTTTATTCTTTCATCATAGCCAATGAAAATACATTTTTCTCATCTGTCATCAAGCTTCTTTCTGGTCTGTTCAGGAATGTGGGCGTATGTGATGCATCCAAAAATCTTGAGGTGTCCAACTCCTGGTTTCTGACCACTCCATGCTTCGTTTGGCGTCATATACTTCAAGTTTTTTGTTGGACATCTGTTCAATAGGTAAACTGCACATCGAACTGCTTCAGCCAGAATTTCTTGGTAGTTGCTTGCCTTTTATCATGCTTCTTGCCATGTCCGGGATTGTGCGGTTTTTCTTTTTGCAACTCCATTTTATTGTGGCGTGTATCTGGCTGTCAGCTTATGGATGATGCCATGCTCTTTGCAAATTCTTCAAATAACTTTGATGAATATTCGCCTCCTCTATTGATCTGAGTATCTTCAAATATTAATCGCTTTGTTTTTCCGCCATTGCTTTGAATTCTTTCAATTTTTCCAGCACTTCTGACTTTTCTTTCAAGATGTAAACCCAACATTTCCTACTAAAATCATCAATAAAAAAGTTAGGTAGTACCTGTTACCTCCAAGCAATGGTATGTCAAAAGGACACCTATATTGTGTGTATTATCTCCAGCGGTCTTTGGGCACGCCAGGATCTACTAACTTCAAAGCTTTGTCTATGTTGTTTTCTTTGATGCAAGCCTCACATAATTGATTTGGAGGGTTGATCTCTGGTAGTCCTTTCACCATGCTCGTTTTTTATAACAACTTCAAACTAGAAAATCCAAGATGTCCATATCTTAGATTCCATAACCATGAATCATCTTTGATTGCGATCTTCATGCACTTGACTTCTCCCGACTCGATATCAATTGTAAAGAGACATTCGAGTCATATCAGCTTGGGCTATCAATTCTCCTTCTTTATTTTTGATGGCAAGCGAGTGGTTCTTTATCTGCACTTCGTATCCTTTTTCCAGAAGTTGACCAAGACTGATGATATTGCTTTTCAAAGCAGGTACATAATAAACATCTGAAATATATTTCTTTTCTCCATTTCTTAGTAATCATGACTTCGCCTTTTCCTTTTATTTCTGCGTGCGAGTCATCTCCGAACGTTACTCGCCCATGAACTGTTTCATCTAATTTCACAAACAGTTCCCTTTGACCACACATATGGTTGCTGGCACAATTATCAAGATACCAAATATTTTTCTTGAATTCCTCATTTCCTTTATATGTGAGGAATACATGAGATTTTTCAATTTTTTCTTCTTGAGTGCTGCTACGTTGTTTCTTTCTTCTTGTTTAGGAGCAGATCTACAATCATAACTATAATGACCATAATTATTGCAATTATAACATTGTACCTGGAATTTACTTCCTTGTTGATATCTGCCCCTACCTCGGCCTCTGAATCCTCGTCCACGACCTGATGTTGGATTGTTTCACACATTTGAACGGTGCCATATGATCGACCACCATGTCCACGAGTTCCTCGTCCTCCTCTGTATCTTCCACGATAACCACCACGATTTCCTCGACCTCGTGTGTAGCTGTTATTAGCTTCTCTTTCGTTGACATTCATCTTGCTTTGTAGAGCTTGCTCCAAATATTCTGAATCTTCATTTTATTTTATTTTCTGCTCATGGGCTTGAAGTGAACCCACAAGCTCATCGATTGATATCTGAGATAAATCTTTTGATTCTTCGATTGCCACCACCACGTAATCGAATTTTCTTGTCAATAACCGCAAAATTTTTTCCATCACTCTAACATCGTCGAATGATTCGCCATTTCTTTTCATTTCATTTACGACTGCTTTTACACGGCTAATATAATCATCGATATATTCTGTATTTTTCATTTTTAACATCTCAAACTCAACTCTGAGAGTTTGTAAGCGTACCTTCTTTGCTTTTTCGGCACATTGTAGAGATTTTTGCAAAATCTCTCACGCTTGTTTTGCGGTCTTCGTATCAGAAATTTTTTCAAAGGTAGATTTGTCTACTCCTTGAAAAATAAAGAACAATGCTCTTTTATCTTTTTTCCGGGATTCCTTTAAAACCTTCTTTTCTTCATTTGCCAGGGCTCCTTCTGCTGCTGCATTTTCAGGCTCGGTGTAACCATCCTCGATGATATCCCAATAATCTTGGGAGCCTAGTAACGCCTTCATTTGAATGCTCCAATTGTCGTAATTCATCTTTGTCAATCTCGGAATTTGAGGTTGAATCATGTTGGCCATCTTCTCCACCACGTTGAACTCGAACCAAGCTCTGAGGCCACTTGTTGGAAGCGTAGATGGGCTCTCGGTAATTTATAACTCGAACTTTTTATTTATACGAAACAAAATATGTTACAATGACACTACCTCAATATTACAATACTGCAATACTAGCTGTTGCATGTTTACAAACGCAGCCTCACTATTTTAAAGCTTTGCTAAGCTTCACAACCTATCTCTCATTTTTTTCTTACTTTCTCTCGTATATTTTCCTCACTTGTATTACATACATCCTAAACTAGGCTAGAGCACATATATATAGGATCAATTAACCGACTTATTTTGAAGCTCTGGGTGCTTATCAATTTTTCCATTATTGCCACCATATTTGCTGCAACATTATCCTTTTATGGGACCACCTTAATATGCTTAATAATTAAGAAATTCAAGAGGCTTCTAGCTTATCTTGCCGTCATATTGTTGCACTTCTAGCCATCTTTCTTGACTTTTCAAGTTTGATTTTTAACATTAGGAATTTACACTACTAGTTGTTGGAGTGATCTCCAAAAGGTCTCAACCAAACTCAGCATTTCTCTGCCACGTTCATTTCTACGTTAAAACGCATTGAAACGAAAATCTAAGTTCTATTGGGATTTGAAGTGACTCGAGCATCATTATGGAATAAAAGAATGCAACAACTAGATTAGAATGATAATGTCAATATTATAAAACCAAAGAAAAAAATGCATGGAGAAAAAAAGGAGGGGGCACATGTAACACGCTTTAGCAAGCAGCTTGTGCATTTGAAGTCAAGGATAAAGCACCTAACGGTAACATATTGTGGATGCTATGTCCTGCTGATTCCAGAATATTTTGGTACACCCATATATCCAACCACCAGATCCTGCGTCGGCCAAAAAAAAAAGGATTATTCTGAGTGTCGTGTCAGCAAAAAGTGCAAGATAACTTCCTTGTGTTAACTCCATTATTCTTTCCTTATCTCTCGATTTATCTCTTAGATTACAAGAGTAAATATATTGGGTAAACACACAAGGCATTCCCATTAGCACGGGTTAAAAAATTCCAAGGACAACCTTGCATAAATAATTAAAAGAAAAAACTCACCGCTAATGCATTTGTGGAGACACATGAAAATTTGTCTAGTTAAACAATTGTTCTATAATTGATATGCACAAATAAATAGTGAAGTCTTGATGCACAAGACAAATTTTGGTGCAGATAACCTTTTCTAGACAGATTTTGTTAAATGGTCAAATTCATTAATCATATGGAACAACAGGAAATTACCTATAGCAAGAAGGTGCAATAACATCGACTAAGTCGTTTGCTGGTAGACAGAAACAAGGAACCTGCTTTAATTAAAATTTCAAATGGATGAAGCTTGATGAATGCGAGAACCAAACCAGATTGAAAGTAAAAACAAAATTTATTACCTCTTCAATATGACCATCCAAATGCTTTAGGTGGACCTAGAAGAATATAAAAATAGCAACATAAGATACAAAAAGTGAATCTTTTTAATACTAATATCAGCTCTTTTATATAGAGAGCTAGCAGTTAAACATATACTCGAGTAGCCTAGTACCAACATCTAAATAATGAGTAATCAACCTGCCTTGATGGTATAAACGTCAAACCAAAGCTCTCTCTCCAGATAACGTAAACGGCTCAATCATTGGATATCATTCGTATATGTTATGAATAAATGGGGAAAAAGAACTATTATCACTGTTTATCCCAAGGATAGGCAATTACCGGCTATAGTAATATCCTATGCTCTTTAAGACTTACATGGTGAAAGACATGGGAAATATAATGAGGTAAATCTCAAGGCCTCGAGTAACCTAAGCTCACACCTTTGTTTACTTTAAATAAATTTTTATTACAATTAGACTGTATTCCATTTAAGTTGAACACAAGTATCAACTATGCATAACTTGAGCACGAGTAAAAAGTTTTTCAGCACAAACCTTATAATCTTGCATAAACTCGTAATGTAGAACAGTTTCTGGTTCACTACTCGCTGCCTTTAGAAAATTGTCTAGACCTTCTCTAGTTCCATTATCAACTGTTGAAAAGGTGATCGTAATTATTGAGATCTGTCCTGTAATTTAGAAAGGATGCAGTCTAAAGTAACATTGTGCCTATAACTTATCCATCTATGGCTTATGAATTTTGAAGAGATCTAATTAAAATTCAATACGAAACCATAACACATGACTGAGTTCATAACCAATAATAATTTTAATCTCACAGTAACTGGTTGCAGACTAGATGGAAATCATACATCTTTTAGTACCAAAAAATGCATTTTTCTCTTAGTAAAGATAATAAAATAAAGTTTTGAGATGAACTATTCGCAGGTTACATTGATATTAGCCATATTTGACTAAGATGATATTGTAAAAGTAAAGCAGCATGGTAAAATGAGCATTAATATAAATATATATATTACCACAATTGGTGCCTAACACATAAAGCTTCTCCAAATTTAGATGGTGCTCCACAGATCTTAGCGCTGCAGTTTAAGAAATCATTCTGCATTACAATAGTACAAGTCATAATATAGAAATAAGCATATGCAGAAACTGTTAGGGCATAGCATTAAGCATACCCTGCACTTGGCAACCAACACCACAGAAAAGGTGACGCTTTACCCCTGCAGCCTGCATAATTAAGCCCATTCTATCTCAGTTAACTTTATACAGGGAAAAAAGTACAATTATGTTTTTTTAATGATAAAACACAGATTAGCTATTAGAAACTGGTAGAAATGACTAAAGAAAAACAAACAAGCACATCAAATATAGTATCCATTGATTATTGGCTTTCTTAGTGCTCTATAGAATAAATGAATCACCTCCTCTTGCTACTTGATTAGGTCCTTTTGACATTTTCATTGCATTAATTTTCAGTTTCTACAGAGGTAGGGCATGAGAAAAGGAAAATGTGTAGCCTTGGTTCATTCTTTCCTTTTAAGTAGGTGCTCGCCTATTTGTCTATGATTAAGAATAGTGGTGGTGTTGCTCTCATTGTTCAACTCCTCCAGAATAGTCATCGTTCTTCTAAGAAATGATTTTAATTATGAGCTCATAAAACCAACTTCATAACTTTCATCAATATTTCTTAAGCATAAATGATATTCTAGAATACATACTATTTTGCGCATAAGAACATTCCCTATGATGCGCTCTTCTCCTATTTCAAACTCTTGAGGGCATGAGCACTAATTTCTATATGAACCCACATACATTTGAATATGTTGTTGGAAATAAATGAGTTTCGTCAACCATTTACTTCTTTTATTTAGATAAAAATCATAGTTAATGGGAGATCGTCTGTCAGTATTTTTATATTGTAAATGATGGGTCATGAGTAAGAGGAAGAAGAAGAAGAAAAGTGGTTGCAAAAGGTGTCAAACCCCTCCTCGGAAGTACTGAGGAATATCTATAGCGATTGTAAAAATTTGAAGATCGAGATGCTAGGTAGATTTGTTGGTCAAACTTTAGATTTTACTCTAGTAGATCATATGGATCTGTTAGAGGACTTGTTTATGAGATATTCTCAGATAACAGGATAAGATATTCTAATCCCGATATTCTATTAAAGTGATATTTTAGCTTTTTTTTCAATAGAAATTTTTCTAAGAGCGATTTCCCTTACTCGGTACATAATCCTTTATCATGGATGATATCTTAAAGAGATTTTTTATAAATTTTATGGAAGTTTTTCAAAATATTTTTAAAATTGAAAAATGATTTTCATTTTTTATTGAAAGAGGTTAGTTTATCTATTTTTAAAATTTATAAGATGTAATATATATATATATAAATCAATTTATTAATTATCTTTTAATATATAAATTATTAAAATTTAATTTAACACAGACATAACTGAAAATTTTATTTAAATATATTAAAAAATTTCTAATAATTTTAAAAAATTAAAAAAATTACTTAAATCAAAATTAAAAATTGAGACTAGACACTAGAATTTTTAAACAATGTTAGAAATTTGAATCCTAACGTTAACGAAGGAAGCAAATTGAATTGAGAGGATCATCATTATTTTTATAATACTCGATCTAAATTAATTGATCAGTAAATAGAATTGAGATAAATATACCATAAAAATAAAAATCAGACCAAAAGAAATAGCGATAAATATACCGAAATTCAAATGGAGATGGGGACATGGATTACTATATCCAAACCGTGGGAATAATCAAACCGTATCCGTGTGAATAACTGTGGGGATCTTTGGAAAAATAATTGTAGGGATCACTGATATTTTACAAAATAAAGTGGGGATCCTCGAAAAATATCTGTGAGATTACGTGTTGCCACTGTTATATCTCAAATGAACTAAAATTGAAGTTTAGATATTTTTTCATTTAATATACATTAATTTGTTGAGATTGAAAATGATTAAGATTGTACATATACATTAACTGTTAGATGAATATTAATGTTTGAAACTTTCATATTATAGATAGAGACCAATTTAAGATTATATAATATATCTTATAAGTTTTAGGTGTTGCATTGATTTCAAAAGTATATGTTCATTTTTTGAGATGAGATTAACCGAAACCCACAGGATTAATAAAGAATGAGTATGAAAAAAAAAATCATGAAACATATAACGGAGATTTTTCAAAATCATACTGAATGGGTAATGCAAATCGTCCCCGTCCCCGCCCCCGCCCAACCCTGTTGCCACCCCCTACGTCTAATTCCTTTCTTTAGTTTTTTTTATAATTTCAACATTAATTAATTAAGAATTATTACTTTAAATAGTCCCTTTATTTTAGTAAATCAAAATTTAATTAATCAACTAAATGTTTTTATATTACTTTAACTCAAAATTAAACTATATTTCAAGTGCGTCTTTCTGTAAAATATATTAGATCCAGAAATAAAATTTAACGTTATCGAACAGGAAAATAAAGTTTGAAACGATGATTTTTCGGGAAATTCTCCATTTGCTAAGGTAGTGAAAATTTATTCCTAGCGGCTTTTTCAAAAAAAAAAATTGGCTCTTCTTTTAAGAAAGCTGATAAATCTGATGCGTGCTTGCCAGAAGAATTGTTTATTATTTGAGATAATTATTCATTTCAAAAAATTAAAGCCATTAATTTATAAATATTGTTAATTAATTATGATATTCTTAATAATCATCTACTATTTATTAAGAATGACAATAATATACTAACAACTAGTTAATCTAGAAGTATTAGACCTTTCTAATAAAATAATAAATTCAAATTTTAATATTTTAAATTATAACAAATTAAGTTACGAGAGTTACTCTCATACTGGTTCTATGCAGTTTGTAATATTTGATTTAGGGTCGATCAATAGATTAAATATCGATTATTATAAAAAAGGATAAGAATGTATTTTTTTCTATTTCTTGATTGAATATTTTCTAACATTTTAGATCATATTACTTTCATATAATATATATTATTTAAATTTTCTTTTCATTTTTCATTTAATGAGTAAATATTTTTTAAAAAAAATATTTGATTATTAATACTTTTTAATTATGATGATGATTTCTAATAAATTTTAATAGGATTATTTAAAATATTAATAATTTTATTAATTAATTGAATGATATCATTATAATTAAATAATTAGATATTTTTTTAACTAGCATGTATTTTAGTAAATTAAACTAAAATATTTTTAGTATTACTTTTAACCCAAAATTTAACTATATTTTGCAAAGGGTAGTGGAATTTATTCCTAGTTGCATTTTCAAAAAGAGTGGCCTCTTTGTTTCAACAAAGGCTACTAGACCTAAAAGGAGAAGGCTTCTTATAATTTTGTGAAAGGGAATGATTATTTTTAGAGATTCGAGTTTGGTGTTTGTAAAGTATGCGTGTATCATCGATAATAAACTATTTTTAACATATAATCATCAAAATAAAATTAGTGAGAAAAATAATAATTAATTGAGCAGGTAGTTGGCTAGACAATTAAAAATGCTCACAAAGCAATAAAAAAGTTAGGTTTGCATAAAAATGATAGTAGTTGTAGGGTTGAGCATGGGTTGGGTTTGGGTCGATTTTCGGCCGATTCGATTAGACTCGAAAAATATATACTTTTCATCCACCTAAATTTATCCGATTTTTTAGATAAAATCTGAATCCGATCCGATCCGAAATAATAATAAAAATATTATTTTTAGTCAATAAAATAGTGATTTAATTGAAAAAAAATAATATATAGAATGATATTATTGTATTATTCTTAAATATATAAGGTAAAATTATATTTTTCCGGGTTGGTATTTTTTTACCATAAACTCGAATACGACCCGACCTGAACATCACCTTTAAAAAACTTGACCCGACCCAAACTCAAATAAAAAAATTTAACCCGATCAGATCAGATTTGATTGGGTCGGAACCTGTCAGATTCGGATCTCATGCCATGCCTAAGTAGTTGTGATAATAAATTGATTGAATTACTGAAAAAGTTGAATATTATTTCAATAGTTACCATAATTATGAGAAGTGTTGCATAATATTCTTGAAGATGATTTTTTTTTAAAGTTCTACACCTAATCTTAGCACTTTTACGTTATTTATTCGATAATTTATAATGTCTCTCTAATTACAGAAAAATGGTTTCAATCACTAAAAAGTTTATACGTTTTTACAATTTTCATTACTCGTAGTACTTCTTTTTAAATTAGGTTTAGAAATTTAAATTGTACTTATAGTTTTTTATATCACATCTTTATTTTATTCTATTTTTTATTTTCAATAATTCTACTTATATAGCACGTTTTCTTTTGTTTTTTTGACACGTTTACTTCTTTCTTTCGGTATATTTTCCGATCGTTTAACCATTGTTTTAACTTATTTTAAGGGTTGATTTCATATTTCTAATATTGATTAAGATGACGCTTATATATTATACTTATTGATCTCACCTGTTTTGGACCCTAGTATTGGATTTGGATTCGTTCTACATTTGTAGATAGTTTTTTCACGTCGCTCGAGTTTGATTTACGATTTATCAATGGTCTTTCAGTAACTTGATTCACTTTTGTAATTTATTTACCGATACAATCAGATATGTTTATATTTAACTTTGTTTGGGTTCATTGATTAGGTTTTAATATATCCTTATATGGTCATTGTTAGTTTTGTTTCAATGTTAATAAAAAATTTTCATAATTATGCTTAATTTACTATGATGATTGTAAATCTTCATGTAACTTGAGATCTTTACTGTTTTGAATAAAATTAGTTACATCTATATAAAAAAACAAATGTTAAACAACTTTCGCATATATGAAATTATAAAAAAATTCAAAACTTTTATTAGTGGTTGTAACTAGGGATGTCAATTTCATGTATCGGATTAGATCCGATCCGAAAATTTTGAATACCTAAAATAGTGATTTGTTTTGATCCGAAAAAAATCGGATATCTGAATCCGAATTTAAAATTTAATTTTATAAAATAATTTTAAATTTTGTGATTTAAATAACTTATTTAATACATCTACTATATTTTTTTATATATTTAATTACTCACACACACTAAATAATTAAATACCCTAATTTTTATTAAGTTGGAGCTTTAATGAGTTAGTGGGTTACTCATTTATTGGGTAAAGGGTATCTAAAATCTAAGGGTCCATTTTTTCTTTAGATTTTTCAGATAATCCAAATTTAAATTTAATCGATCTGTATCCAATCTGATCTGATCTCGAAAAATAAATAACGGTCACCCCTGGTTGTAACTAAACCTTATAATAGCTACAATAAAAGTTGACCCGATCACTAAAAAAATTGAAACTATTTGAAAAATTGTTATAGCTACAGGAAATGTTGGACAACTTTTTCAAATATGAAATCCAAAAAACTTTCACAACTTCTCTATATTTTGATTAATCAAATTTTACAAAACAGATTCAAAAAAACGTAGACACCCAAAATATATTTTAATACAACAGCTCAATACATTCCACCAAAAGTAGTTGATTCTTTTGCAAGGTAAACAAACATCCCTACCCCAACAGTGTTAGCCTTCCATGAAAATTATTTTGCCAACAGTTTCAGAGCAAAGAGGAAGGTGCAGAAGGTAAATAAATAAACGACGATATCCGGCATCGATAATACTCTCCGTGCAGATATACGTTTCCGAGAAGAAGACCAACCTTCCACCAACAAAAAACAGCCCAGCTGTGGACAATGAATTGATAAAAAAAAAGGTATCACCAAACCCGAGGACGGAGCTCACCAGTTGCTGGGGGCTTCCATCTCCCAGAATTGTACACATTTTCGCCTACTTTCCAACTAGGGACATCCTTTCACTTCAGCCTCGTACTCGAGATACTTCCTCCACTCTTTGACAAATCTAAATGATGCAATCAAGCAAACAAACATGGAAATGCTCAATGCATTTTAGCTATGTACATTGAAGTGGTCTGGATAGTTAAACACCTTTCATCTTCTTCAGCTTGAAGCACGGGTAATATTGCTCTACGCGCAGCATACTTTTCTTCCTTCAGTGCCCTACAAAATGTTAATATTTCAGAACTCTGTTCTAGAATGAAAAAAAATCAATTTGCATCTACCTTGTGCATTCAAGTTAATTTCCATGGTAAAAACTAAATCATGGAGGAGAAAATGGAATTAGAAAAGTTTTACAGGGTATACATTATAAAAACTGGGTAAAGTACATAAATGGTGACCCGACTATAGGACATTATTTTGTTGAGTCTCCCAACTATTAAAAGTTACAAAATGATCCCTAAATTATAGGACATTATTTTTGTTGAGTCCACCGACTATTAAAAGTTACAAAATGATCGCTCAACTATTCATATGTTCCAAACTCATCATTTTTCTACTAAAAAGTTATGATCGTCTGAGCTGGACGTTAACATGATGACTTAGATATGATAAAATCATATTTTAGTGATGTCTACTGTCACTAATGTTTTCAAGCACTAGCTCGACAATATGATGTCTTCAAGCACTGGATCAATGACATAATATAAACGGAAAGTCAATTCATAAAATACAGCTCAAACGGTTCTATGATTATATTTTATCTTATCTCTCATTAGGTTATCGTCTAGTTCAGACGATCGTCGATTTTCTAATGAAAAGACCAGTTTAGAACATATGAATAGTCGAGGTGATCATTTTATAACTTTTAATAGTTGGAGAACTCAACAAAACAACGTGCCATAATTAGGAGAACATTTTGTATCTTTTAATAGTCAAGGGATTCAACAAAACATAACCCTATGGTCGAGGACCATTTGTACACTTCACCCTAAAAACATAGGCAGGGCGTACTAAATTAGAACATAGGGAGGCTCATGAAATTATCATCCATGGTCCACATATTCTGAACAAATAATAGCATTGTGAGAAAATGTTGTATCAAAACTTTGCCTTGCCTTTTTCCCTTCTACGGTTCTACCAGCTTCTTCATAGGTTACATGCTAAAAGCCATTTGAAAAAAACAGGAATCCTGACTAATTGTTTTGCCTTGTGAAAGACCAACGAATTACTAAAATCAAAACATAAGCAGACTGCTGCAATTCCTAAATTCATATATAGGCAGGCTCATGAAATCATCGTGAATTTTCAATCAGTAACGAATCCAAAAATATTTTGAAGTTGAATATATATATATATATTAAAAACATAAACTTTTTATACTGGATGACCACAAACAAAAATTTTAATAAAGACAAAATCACTAAAATAGGTAATTACCCAAAAAAAATTCAGACCTCATGTCTTGGTGGATCCACCACTGTTTCCATGAGAGGACAAAATAATAGCATTGCCAGCAAGTCATAGTATCTAAACATTGTCTTTCCTTTTCCATTCCTATCAACTTCTTCAAAGGATATATACAAAACCCCATTTGAAAGAACTAGCAAATATGAACCAAATATGATACTAATAATCAGTAGAATCCACCACATTTCCCAGGCTAATTTGAACAAACAACCACAGATAAAGACCCAGATATAAGTTAAACAACAGTGCAAGATCTAACTCCAAGCCTCATCGTAAGCTAAAAATGTTTTCAATTCCATAAAAAGCTTTCTAATAGAAGAGGTAAAAGCAAAAGAATATTACCATACAAGACCATAGCCATGATTCCAATCAACGAAATGAGAACAACAGATTAAATGTACAGAAATACCATGAGCGAAGATTTTTTTTAAAAAAAAACCAGATTAGAAAATCATGGGATTAAATTAATGATGTGACATATATCACATCATCTAAAATGATGTTTATTTATATGATATGTACCACATCACTTAAATTTATGTGTCATGTTATTTTAAATGATGATGTAATATGTGTTACATCACACAAAAAAATCGAGACATTAAGACTAAAATGCTCCCAAAAAAAAGACTAGGGAGAAAAGAGACCATTTATGTAAATATTGAGGTTAATTTTGTCATTATTTTTTATATTATAATATGTTTAATGAAAAAATAGGTATCAAACTATATCATATGTACTTTTTAGATGTCAAAAGTTTTTGTAGCTCAAATCAGGTATATAATGTTTCTGACGTTATGTCGCTTATACTTAAAAAATAGCGTTGCAAATATATACATCTATCTCGAATGAAAAAACTTAACCACTTAAACTAAGTAAAAGATATAATTTGATTATTTATTTTTGCATTAATTATTTATGATATAATTTATTTAATTTACATTGATACCCCTCATAAATCAACAGTGGAAAGTTCACGTGAAATAATAAACCTAAAAACTGCTGGAATCACGTTCACGTAATTATACTGAATCTCCCTCCATGCACGCCTTGATTACCGTTAAATAGGTCCAATATCAAAATAATCAATCTTTTGGAAAATCCATCATGAATCAATGGCGCTGATCTCAATAAAAGGATGTGGACACCATTTTTACTCATTTACGACACCATTATTACACGTTACGAACAAAACCCAAAATTTGCAAAATCAATAATGAAAGAACCCTAAAAATCAGATATCTCCTCGTTTTCCCATCAAAGGAAACCCAACTTTTTTCTTAATAAAAGAAGAGATAAATAACCCACTCCTTTCGTTAGAGAAGGTAGAGTTGTTTAGAAATGGAAGCTTTTGATATGTCAGTTTATTTCGACGACAAGTTATTAGACTTTGGCTCCGATGCGGGAGGGAAAGATGAAGATGAACACAGCTTCTCGAAGCGTAACCCTAACCCTTCTTTTCCGGTGAGTTCTTTTTTTTTCCTTCTTTTTACCAGTTTATAGTACTGAAATTTTTCGAGCTTTCTCGCCGAGTGTTCAAAGAGTCCAAGTTTGGTGCTAACTCGGCCGAGTCTTTGCTGTCTGGAAGTTTTTTTTTCTCGAGGCTTGGGTTGGGGGAACTAGGTTGGATAGGTGACTCGGTTCAACTGTTTGTGGGGGCTGGGGGGATAGGTTGTTTGGTTCTGAGTCGAACTCGGGCGGTTGTTCCCGAGTTCGTGATGAAAATGACCCGGTTCGGGTCAAAGTGTACGGCATTGAAAACTGGTATTTGCTTGTGTTTTTTATTGATTGCTCCCGCGATACTTTTTTGGATGACAAATTTACCCATCTTGTTCATTTCTGTTATTGGATACGGCCGGCAGTTGGGGTTGAGGGTAGTTTCGGTTTTATGATAGTTGGAGGAATGTCGTTATTTGACATGAGCTGTCAAACACCATGCTTATGGCTGTGCTAATAAATGGGTATTATATAAAAAAATAGACTAAACTATATTTTTATTCTATTTTAATTATTTTATTATTACTTTTAAATTATATAATTCTAGTTATTTTAATCCTTTATTGTTAAAAATTAAACGTAAGTGATAATATAAGATTTTTTTTAACAATAAATGTTGTTATCTTTTGGTGGGTGATATATTAGTAGTGTCATTAAATTTTTAATATTGGAGGATCAAAATAGAACCTTTATAAAATATTAGATATGATTTTAAGTGACTTAAACGAAACCATAAAAATTAGTGAGTAATTATATATAGTTTATTTTATTTTTAATATGAGAACTCCATTATGATTTTTTTAATATGACTATAAGTAATATTATTTAGAAATTTTATTAACCTATTAAAAATGTATAGATACAGGTATTTAAATTTAAGTATTATAGAGAATAAAAATCTATTCTACCATCGACCATCAACTGATATGATTGTTTTTAAAATTCTTTTCAATGTTAAAAACTCAATTATGTCCAACTTTCAAACATTGTATTTTAGCTTTCGCATGCGAAACCAACAAGACCTATTTTCGTCCTTTTCTCTGTTTACGAATGTCCACGATTTAAATCGTTGGAGTCCGACAGAGTTAGCCAGCTGAGTTAAAAAGCGTTTTTTTTTGGTTTTCAATGTTGGCAGGAATTTGCAGAGGAAGAACTAGAATGGTTATCAAACAAGGATGCATTTCCGGGCGTGGAGACATCATTCGTGGATGTTTTAGAGAATCACCAGAGCCCGGTGTCAGTACTCGAAAACAGTAACAGCAGCAGTACTTCAGGTAGCACCACCAGGAACGTTGTGATGTTCCCGGTGAAGGCGAGGTCGAAGCGCGTGCCAAAATGCCGGGACATGAGGAACCAAGAAAACAGGTGGTGGTTGGTTAAGGAGAAGCTGAAGAGGACGAAAGGGGGTCGGAAATGCCACCATTGTGGGGCGGAAAAGACACCTCAATGGAGGGCGGGTCCGTTTGGGCCTAAAACACTCTGCAATGCTTGTGGAGTGAGGTATAAGTCGGGGCGTTTGGTGCCCGAGTATCGTCCGGCGAGTAGCCCTACTTTCTCCGATGAGTTGCACTCCAATTCTCACAGGAAGATTTTGGAAATGAGGAGGCAGAAGCAGTTGGGAGTTTCTGTAATCAACCCTATGGATAAAAGGTAGTGTTCTTGTTATTTGAGCAGAGCACTCTCAATTTAATTTAATTTTTTAGGAGATGGCTAGTAACCTACCGTTCTTTTTTTACTTTTATTTATGACGAAGTTGAAAATCCATTAGGGGTATTTTGACTTTGATGTGTTTTGATTGGTTTGATTTGTTTTGAGTTTTAGTATTGGTCAAAATGTTGAGTGCAAGAATGTGCATATTTGGGTGGAGATTTGCACTTTTTTTTTATTGTTTTGAGCTTACTCAACTTATGATGGAGTTGAACTCTCAGTGATAAGAGAAGTAAAAGCAAGTTTCGGGTTCAAATATTTAGGGGTGGACGAATGTTTTTTATGTTTGGGGAATAAACTTAAAAATTTTAAGGGAATAAAATAAATTTTCAATGGAAAATACATATAAAAAAAATCTAAAATATAATGTAATTTTAAATTTGGAAAAATTGTCTCTAACTGCCCCTCGATCCATTCCTGCTCCTAAACGAGAATGGGACTTCATGGTCTTTACCATGACGAAGGCTGCCGCGCCCTTGAAGCCATTGAAGGCTCTCCACCTTTATTCATTTCATCGAGAATTTCTCCTTTTCGCTAAACACGTAGGGTTCCTCCACAAGTCAACAAAAAACCACTCACACTATAGGACTAACTGACGGTAAAACAACTTCACCACCTCAAACAACTCCACAGCTGATGCTAATGCTATCCTCTATTTAAAGGGGAAACTGGATAATGTCAAATATTCATTACTAATCCAAAGGCACACCGACAGAATCACAAAATTTCCATGCAACCAACCCAAATTTTCCTTACAATCTTGATTGCTGCTATCTACATGGTAACATGTTTTGCAACAGAAGAGCCCGTCCTTGTGTTCTACATGCATGATATCCTCGGAGGCAGTAGCCCCACGGGTCGACCGGTAACCGGCTTACTCGGAAACATTTACAGTGGTCAAGTACCTTTTGCTAAACCCGTAGAATTCCTCCCCCCACAAGGTGGAGTTGCAATCCCCGGTGGAGTTGCAATCCCCGGTAGAGTTGCAATCCCCAATTCCAATGGTGCTATTCCTACCGTCAATGGCGTCAACGGTCTTCCCCTAGGAACAGGATTAGCTGGTACAGCTTTCGCCGGTAATCCAAACCAGAATGGTATCCCCCTTAGGACCAGATGGCCTGGGACTAGGATTTGGAACAATCACCGTCATCGACGACATACTCACCGCCAGCCCTGAATTGGGATCACAGACAATAGGGAAAGCTCAAGGGGTTTATGTATCCAGTTCGGCTGATGGAACAACACAAATGATGGCATTCACGGCTATGATCGAAAGCGGAGAATACAACAACAACCTCAACTTCTACGGAATTTACAAGATCGGAAGCACCGTCTCACATGTATCAGTGACCGGTGGAACCGGCAAGTTTAAGAATGCATGCGGAGTCGCTGAGGTTCGACCGCTTATAACACCCGGTCAACATGTCACGGATGGCGCCGAGACGTTGTTGAGGATCACAGTCCATCTCAAATACTAAAACTCGAAAAGGCTGCATGTTTTTTTTGCAAATTATGTGTACCTGTCTGTGTTAAAAATGAACATGGGCATCAATCTTCATTGTAACAATGTTGAAATTCAAAAGGACTTCATTGATTTAGCAAAATGAAAAATCCCCAAACTGCAATTATTAATCACACAAAATATACGATAAGTGCGTAAACAGTACAAAAGTAGGAAAAGGTTGATGCTCTATACGGTAACGATTTTGACACGAGAAATTACAGCCGTTTGATCAAGTCCGTGGAGAGAATCAATCAAGTGCATCCGCAACGAAGCAGGACCTCCAGCCGTCTCCATCCCGATCTCACCAGCAACGCCAAAAACGGCCAACGCCGAAGCCGTAGCTTCCAAAGCATGCGACGGATCAATTGCCACAAAAGCAGCGATCAAAGCCGTGACAGCGCATCCGGTGGCTGTAATCTTTTGCATCATCGGCACGCCGTTTCGTACTCCGACGACTCGATTCCCATTGGTGATGAAATCAACCGCACCTGAAACCGCTACTACAGCACCACTGGAACTAGCCAAGGATTTGGCGGCTTCAACGGCGTCCGTGGATTCGTGAGAACTATCCACGCCTTTGGTGGAGGAGGATCCAAAGGACACGTTAGCCAAGGCAATTATTTCGGAGGCGTTGCCTCTGATGACGGAAGGCTTAAGGGAGATCAGTTCCAAACACGCCTTTAGCCGGAAACCGGAGGCAGAGGCGGCGACGGGGTCGAGGACCCAGGGTTTATTGAACTTGGAAGCCAACTGGGCGGCGACTTTCATGGCCGGTAGCCAGTTTTCGGACAGAGTTCCTACGTTGATATAAAGAGCGTGGACATGAGGGGTGAAATCTGGGGATTCAATAGAGGAGTGAAGCATGGCGGGTGATGCACCGGCTGATAAGAGAGTGTTGGCCGTCAGGTCCATGGAAACAAAGTTGGTGATGCACTGGATTAACGGTGAAACAGAGCGGACTGTGCTGAGGAAGTCCCATGCCTTTGAACCCCATCCACCCTGTTCTCCGTCTTCCATCTCCATCTTCTCTTTCAGTGGCTTACCGCAGTGCGGCGAGCTGAACCAATAACCGCTGATGAAAGAGTGACTTCCACTTTCTCCCCCGTTTCATAACCCAAAAATAGGATAAAGTAAAAAAAATGATCTTCAACCATAAGATGTTATTTTATTAAATTTATTTACCGTTAAAAGTTATAAAACCATTCTTCCACTATAATGCGTTACTTTTTAAGTTGAGTAGATTATTAAAAATTATAAAATAATTATTTATATATTTTAAATTTGTTATTTTTTATTAAAATATTAAAATTGTTCGAGTTAAATATTAATTTACTGATTAATATATGATAAAATTTGTTCCAAGTATCTTTTGAGTTGTATAGTTGTTTGAGATTCTAGGATCGGATTTTATCATATCTTAGTCAGTCATTAACATCCAGTTCATACGCCGATAATTTTTTTAGTGGAAAATTGCGATTTTATAATATATGAATAATTGAGTGACTATTTTATAACTTTTAATAGTTAGAAGATTCAACAAAGTAATGTCCTATAATCGGGAGATCATTTTACAACTTTTAATGATTAAATAACTAAACAAAATAATACATTATAATTGAAGGATCATTTGTATACTTTACCTATATTTATTTAATCGTAAACTATATGATTGAAATGTAAATAAACATTTTGACTTTTAAAAATAATATTTTTTTTAAAAATGATTAGGGATTTTATTTTTATTTTCCTAAAAATAATTTCTTTTTTTAAAAAATTAAATTTCTTTTTCAAAAAAAATTGTAAACATAACATGTGCTACTTAATGGAGATTTTTAACGATGATCACGGTCTAGACACTGACACCTAAAAGTATAACGAAAAAAAATTTAAGCACATACTTTTAGTAAAAAATTTATTAGACACTAAAATATTTTTCGATACATAGTTTGAGCACTTATTTTTATATTAATCATTTTAAATATAACGATTATATTTCAGTATTAATCTTTCATCCTCTTCTATATTTAAAGATTTTCTTCTTGAACAATTGTTAAAGGAAAATTTACGTTCTGTTTGAAAATAAAGTTTATTTAGGGATTGAATTTTTTTATTGAAATTAAAAGTCAATCAACTCTTGTTAAGTAAATCAATCTATTATGTCATATTAGCATTCTGTTTTCAAAATAATAACTGTTAACAATTTATTATAAAATGATAATGCTAGTGATTATCTTATTATTTTCAAAGCTTTAATTATTAAAAAGTAAATATACTCATACTTAATTAATCATTATGTAATTAATCCTTTATTTTTTATATATTTTTATAAAATATTTAATCTGTCATCAAATTATGTATATAGTGAGATAAAACAATTAAAAAAAAAGATCGAGTCAATTTGGTCCATGGGGCATTGTGAGATAAACCTCCACACCGAAGGCTAAAAAAATATATCTAAACGAGAAGAGCAGCACCAAAAAAGATAGAAACGACATGGCCCACGGTGGCTACGGTAAGCGGCGCGTGGCGGAAGGGAATCGCGTCGGTCGGCGATCAAAGGGACCTTGCGTAGACAAGAAACCTAAGCCAAAAGCTGTTTCTCTCAAGAACCAGATACGCTCCATTGAACGTATGCTGCGAAAGGTATTCTTCATTCTCTCCTTCTGATAAAAAAAAGTTCAATTTACGGTTTTAATTGGTGTTATAAATTCTCTGAATTGCCAATTTTTTCTTGAGGGACAGAAAGATTAAGTTTTTTGGTAAAAACAAGAGAATTGCTACTATCTGTTCTTTTCTTACATTATCATATAGTATTTAATTAAGTACTTCTAGGGAATGAATCATTTATATGCAAACACCTTAATTGTCATTGAAGAGAGAAGAAAGATAGAAAGGAGGATTAGACGATTGGAGAAGCTGCAACGAACTTCTTCCGGTCAGGCGCAAGACACGGAGATTGCTGACCAGCTATCTAAACTGAAAGAGGATCTTGAATATGTTAGGGTAAGCTTTGTAACAGCTTTGGTTCTTTGTAAGTTTACAGTCTTTTGATGAAAAATTAGTTTTTTTCTTTCATGTTAATGATTGGGCAATGCTATTTAGCTGAACATTTGAACTTGAATTCAACTTGATTTTCCTAAACCGTGCAAAGCTGAAGTTCTTTTTTCATTATTATTTGCGAATCCAGTTTTTCCCCAAGACCGAGAAATACGTATCTTTATTTGTGGGATGCGATGATTCAGAAGTAGTTGATAGGAGAAATAGATTGCGGACGCAGATAAAAGCCAACTTAATTGCTGCTGCTGCCAGTGGGAAAGATATGGAAGGTGCATTATTTTTTCTTCACTGTAGCTAGCAATATAATCTATATGAAGCAACTTATTTAGTTTGATTTCATGGTTTAGTGTAATTAGAATAAAGGTCTCATTGTGAATTTCACTGGAACTCGCTTTATTGATGTAACATGTTTTCTCTTGTTACTTTAGTTTCTATTTCTCATTAACTTACATTTTTATGTTCAAACAATGATATCTTCTGGTTGGACTGCTGCTGCTGCCAGTGGGAAAGATATGGAAGGTGCATTATTTTTTTCTTCACTGTAGCTAGCAATATAATCTATATGAAGCAACTTATTTAGTTTGATTTCATGGTTTAGTGTAATTAGAATAAAGGTCTCATTGTGAATTTCACTGGAACTCGCTTTATTGATGTAACATGTTTTCTCTTGTTACTTTAGTTTCTATTTCTCATTAACTTACATTTTTATGTTCAAAACAATGATATCTTCTGGTTGGACTTTGAATAACAGAGACGGGGAGTGAGGATGATGGTCTGTTGGATTTGAGTGATGATGATTTCTTCTTAAATGGATCTTCAAGTGATGAAGTTGACGCAGATGATGAATGGACAGATAAAAGTACCAGGTACAAATTATATCCGAGCTAAACTGCCCAGTTGAACTTTGCTCTTATAGTGATTGGAATTGTTATCTATATATAACCGATGAAATGTTCTTCTCCAACTTTGATTTCATTAGTCAACATTTAGAACCAGGATAAGTTAGTGATGCAAATGGACTGATGCTGCCATTAAGAACTTTTCACATGAACACGGAATTGTTATCTCTATTGGTTCTGTTGTTGGCAGATGTTATTATTTGGATTTAACTTTGTCCTTTTACGGCAAGGTTGTTTTAGTTGAAGAAGCCACAGATCTTTATCCTACTCCTTCAGCTATGATGAAAGTGCGGTCAAACATCTAGGCATTTTATATGCAGGGAACAGGCTTCTAGCGCTTCTGGAAAAGCAGCATCTGGCATGTCTAGTGATGAAAGGAACCAGGTTCAGTATAGAATTATATAGTTTTATTTTCCGAAAATAATTAATTTTAACTGTTTTGACATTTTCACCATTTTGTTGTTGCTTCAACTTGTAACAGAGAGGTTTCTGCCAGAGCTTTAATGCCACCTCCAAGGCCGTCATCTAATTCCTTTTCAAAATCAAGGTTTGGATTTTCATCCATGCAAAGAGCTGAAATGTCCGCATCTAGCAACACATCAAGAGCAGAAGTGGTTCTTCCTTCAAGGCAGGGGGGTCCTCGAATTCGAAGACAGGAAACAGTAGTAATTTAAGTTCCAGTTCCGATGCCCGTAAACCACGTAGAAAGAGGAGACCGAAAAAGAGAAGGCAGCAGGTTTGTTGACTGCACCTAAACTCGAATTTTACACTTCGTCCATGATAACCAAAAGTCTCTCTTCTTATGTTGTGTTCTCAGGGATGAATTAAACTCGGCTCTGGTATCCATGATAACCAATTGGTGTTGTGCACAGATCTATCATGAGATCCCGAGTAATTTTTGTAGTATTATGTTATTGCCGCTGGTTCAAGAATAGTTCGGTTTCACTGAAATTTAATTATTATATTTTTTTTATGGATTTAATTGTAAGTTGTTGATGCTTGAAATGCTTCGATTGGATGGGGTCAAAGGACGAGTACTTAGACAATTTTTTAAACTGTTTTTATTCTACTATATTGGAAAAATCAAAATTAGATTATGTTAAGGGCGTCTTCCATTGGTAATGTTGGTGTAAAAGAGTGAAGGGAAAGGTTTAAAGTCTCGGTATGATTCTTACCTTGGGCTGTTCTGCTGTTGCATTCTACCCAACCTCTGAGCCGTTTGGCTTAATCAGGAGTAAGCAACTGTGTAACATTGATTTTCTTAACAAGTTCAAGGACTTCATTGGTTTTTTATGTAATATTTACACAAAAAATTTAGAAATTTAAATTATTAAAAATTACTAAAAATAACAATATTTTTAAAAGTTTCAAAAATTAAGTAAAAAATTTTAATTTTTTTTTAAAAAATAGAAGCTATAAAATGATAGATTGTAATTCATTAAAAATTAAGATTTACATATATATATATATATATATATTTATTAAGACTATTATAAAGTAGTATCTGTTTCAAATACTTTCAATTATTTGACAATGAACGTTCAATTGTCCTGTTACAATCGTTGATGCCCGAACCTGTGATATCTAGAAACAACAATTATGCTTTTAAACATGGAAGTAAGTTACTTTGTGCAAAATTTAAAAATATTAAAAATTTGGTTATTTTCATTAGAAAAGTCTTCATTTCTTTTTTTAGTGGAATTGACTTGTATTAGAGTAGTAATGACTTTTTTTTTAATTTATTAAGTCTCAGTTTTAAAAATTTATTTATCGAAACTCGATTTTATCTATCCATTTCTACTAACTCGAATTTTAAGACGTTAAATATATACAAATTCATACATTGTACACACTTAATTTAAATAAAAAATCAAAGTATATATATATATATATGACTATGTACCGTATCTTCTTCTGCGTTTCACATAATATAATGAACTTGTACTAAGAGCATTTAAAAAAAATCTATAAATCTCTATGTTTTGATTAGGGGTCGTACACACAAATTTTATTTTTTTAAATATTTTAATATGATTATTAGGTCATATTTTTGTTTAATTCGAAATTAGTATATGTTTCACTATACTTATGAATTTTATTTTTAAATATTCTAATATGATTATTAGATAGTATCTGTGTTTGAT